TGATGCTGATTAATTTTAGGTGAAAATCTACCGAGCCGTTTTCTTGTAATTAAATGTTGAAAAAAAGTGTTAAATTTTCGTCCACATTTAAGCTCATCCTACCGAACCGATTTTGAAAAATCAAAAACTGTTCCAAAGATATCATTTGGGAATGATGCTGATTAATTTTAGGTGAAAATCTACCGAGCCGTTTTCTTGTAATTAAATGTTGAAAAAAAGTGTTAAATTTTCGTCCACATTTAAGCTCATTCTACCGAACCGATTTTGAAAAATCAAAAACTGTTCGAAAGATATTAGATGGGAATGGTACTGATTAATTTTAGGTGAAAATCTACCGAGCCGTTTTCTTGTAATTAACTGTTAAAAAAAATTTAAGCCGTTTTTCATGGAACTTTTTTTGGCGATATACATCATGGTCTTATAGAACTTACTGTAATATTACGGCCTTACAACAAGTAGTTTAATTTTAAAAATTCGTCAAACTTTGCTAAAATTATTATCGTTTTTTTTTAAAGTAGGATTGACGAAGTATATTTTTTACACATTTTTTGATCAAGTCGATTATTTACACATATCGGGAAGTTCATGTAATTTGCCTCAAGGCTAAATACCAAACCAACTAGTTTCTTGTTCTAATTCTTAAAATATATTAAAAAATTCTACTAAATTAAATAAAATGTTAAAAACTTTAAAACAAATAATTAGTAAAAAATTCGTTGCTTAAAATTTATAACACGACATTTATGTAAAATGTATGTCACCAACTTAATACAATCGATTCTATAATATATTGAACTGTGCATTTATGCTTAATGTTGAACACTAAATATGAAGACAATATAAAGGTATAACAAGCGTCTCTAGGTGATAAATGATACAAAAAACGATATATATTTCTCAGTCTTTATTACATTATATATTAATTATAGTTATAAATATTTACGTTGAATATAGATTCAACTAATAAAAATTTTATCAGCTATGTAAACATTAATATATTGAAACAATAAAGGATTTTCAGAAACGTCTAAAAATGCATAGTACATTTGTTTTTACTGAATGTATTCACAACTAAAGAAATTAGACATTAGTAGTATTTTATTTTTCAAAGAATTTTGTTTGAAATAATTTAGTAGTCGACGAATTTCTTCCTCAATGAAATTAGTATTTCTTCTTTAATATCTCATGTCATAAATGTATATAAATTAATAAGCAATAAACAAATAGCAAATATTGTTTAAATTCATCTTGTTATTTTTCTCTATTAATTATATAATCAATAACCATCTTGGAGTTCTAAATGATTATAATTTAGCTTATTATCCGTAAGTTGCAATTTAAAAATTAGTTTCCGTGAAATGTTTTATGCTGAGAGTTCTCCGGATTGTTATATAGCTATAGGACATTTTTTCTTTCTTAATTTTCTTTCACATATTCACATTTTTAACATGAGTTCATATTGTAATAAATTTCAATGTGTTTATTTTGACTTTCTTTTTTTGCAATCGTGTATCCAAATTAGTGGCATCTTTGTTATCACCATGATTTGTAAATAGTATTTTCGGGAAGTAATTGGAAAAAGACCCGATCAATAACAGCATTAGTATCTGAACAACATAAAGAAAATTCTGTATGTGGGATATGTTAAAACATTTTAATTTTTAACTTCCCGTAGGATAAGTTATTGTAATGAGCCGAAAATCGGAATTGAAAATTTTTACATTTCTCGACGATTTGAAGGTTTCTGAACGTTTTGGCATACCTCAGAAAAAATGGATGTGTGTGTGTGTGTGTATGTATGTGTGGATACAAATTTCCAGTCACGTTTTAGGGCGCACGGATCAACCGATTTGAATAGTTCAAAAAACATTCGATTCCTATTGATAGGGAAAAGAGCTGATTAGTTTTGGGCAAAGGCAGGTCCAGCCGTTTCGGAGATACGGAGCAAAGAGTGCAGAAAATAGAAATCGTATTTTTGAGAAAACGAAGTATCCGATTTGAATGATAAAAAACATTCAATTAGTAGTGATTGGGAGAAGTGTTTATTAGTTTTTGGCAAAGGCAGGCCCAGTCATTTTGAAGATACGGAGCTAAATATGTAAAAAATGGCAGTTTTTGAGAGAACTAAGCGTCCGATTTAAATGATTCAAAGAACTTTCTGCTTGTCTTAACAAAATAATCGATTTTGGAAAAAAAAATTGTGCCATTTTTTTTTTTTTTTTTTTTAGTTTTTTGTATATCGAAAATATTTATTTTTAATTCTGACTATTGTTGTAATATACTTTACAAATAATTTCAACTCTGCAATTCAGTTTATATAATATTATAAATATTAGACAATGTTACAATATTTATAATAATCTATTTGAAAACATTCAGTAATCCTCGAACATTTCGTTACGGTACGGAAAGTTCCAGCAATTTGCCTTAAGGCACGATGCCACCCACCCCACTAGTTTCATTGCAAATTGGAATGCTGGAAAAACTTCTTTTTGTGCACGACCTATTTGGATGATGAAATCATGTAATATAATGCATGTTCGCACTGCTGACACTTTCCATTTTTCTGTGATATTTGTTGCCATCGTTTTAGTATTGTAATGAAGAATTTGCACTGTAAATAAATTGTATTCACATATCCACATTTTTAACATGAGTACAAACTGTAACTAGTTGGTTTGGTATTTAGCCTTGAGGCAAGTTACATGAACTTCTCGATATGTGTGAATAATCGAATTAAGGGGTCAGGGGTACTTGCAGGCACGAAATAATGAGTGTTTTCAGTATTTCTTTTTTGTTATTAAACGATGTTTTTCTACAAAAATATTAACACAGCATTATTATACAATGTTTTGACTTGATGTAACAAAAATTTCAGAAAAAAAAAATCAATATTCCCAAAGTTGGCTGTTTTTGTTGACCCTGTTTCGAAAAACGGTCCTGGCGGTGACCATCATAACTCCTTGGAGATTCATCTAAAATCAATCAAATTGAAAAAATAGTTTTATGAATAGTTAATCCAGGGCCGGATCGAAGGTTTTCTTTTTTTTGCAAAAATTAACAAAATGGCAGCATCAGAAAGAAAAAATCTAGATTTTTGGGTAAAAAATCAACAGTTAATTGGTCTTAAAAAATTCAAATTTTTGAAAAAATAAAAATCCTTCGATCAGGCACGAGTTTATTATGTATTCTAAAAGCTGTATAAATTTCATTAAAATTTATTAGGCGGTTTTTGAGTTACAGTGGTCACCGATTCAAAAAACATAGTTTTGAGAAAAACGCGTTCAAAGTTTTACATTGGATTTACGTACAGAAATACGAATTATTAATTTATTTACACCGAGTCATCTATTCCTGGGCCATATAACAATTCTTCAGCCATTGTGGAAGTATCCAAAATTTCCATTTGGTGTTGCCTACGAAGCATTCTGCCCTCCCGTGTCGTCTCGTGGGCGCGCTGTTCTGCTACTTTCACACATGCAGCATCCAATTTTTCAGCATACCAATGGGAATTATACCCACAATTAGATCCTAGGGTACCCATAATCAATAGTAATGATTATGTATATGTATTCAGCAATTTGTACGATAGTAGAACTAGTATTCACGGTTTTTAGGCATATTTTTTAGGCTAGTTGGTTGAAGCTCTTAATTTTTTCTGATTATGGATTCAATCTTGAACTACACATTTTGAAAGTAAATTATCATTGCTGAGATCGTTTTAAATCGGTTTAAAAGCTTTTAAAACATCAGGATGTGAGGAAGAATAATTTTGAGTATAAGTATCGAGCTCTCCACTTGCGTCAACGCGCTGGTAAGAGTCCAATAACTCAAAAAGTAATCATCGGATCAACTTGAAATTTTCAGAGAACATTTTCAAAATATTACACTTAATGAAAATGCAAAAATATAAGAATCGATTTTTCAAAAATTCCAAGTACCCCTAACCCCTTAATCCATGATACATAAATTAATTTATGAGTGATTATAAGTGTTTCGAGTGGATTTATTACACATCATTGCAAACGAACACGTTAACTCGGAGTATTTTCTAAAAGCTAATTTTCAAAAATCAATAATTTTAATTAATCAATAATAACCAGTTTCCGTAGGACTTTAATGGTTTACTATGTTCAAGACTAAGTACATTATCGTTATACCAACTAAATTATCTAATTTTATTTTTAACAAACGTCAAAAAAAACTACTCATTTCTTCAAATTTTGATGATTTTTTAAAATTAAACTACTTGTCGTAAGGCCGTCCCATACAGCATGAGACCATCCTGGGAGTATCCCGCTTGTCCGCTACACCGTTGCGATATCGCGCATATCCCACGGAACTTCCTAGCGTTGTTCGCATCGGGACTCCCAAATCTGGATAAGCAGGATGGTCCCATGGACCAGCTTGCTTATCCGCAAGATGGGACAGCGGCGAAGGATGAATGTCCCTCTCCCTTTAGCGCGTTGCTAATAGTTCATGTTGTGTGACCATCGGCGCTAGTGTTTCCTTCAAACACTTCAGTTTTAGGTTAAGTTTATTGTTAGTGCTTTTTCACAGACGCCGAAATATATTTTTATCTTAATTAATATATAATATTACGGGATAAATGCACTGTAAGTATGAATATTATAACTTCAATTGTAATATAGTAAAAATGTTAACATTTTACTAATTATGAGTTTTCTTTTAGTAAAAATGAGGTTAAAATTTTCGCGTGGTAAGATTTAGTGATTTCATTAATATCTTCAATGATATTGGATTACGTTTTCTAAAAAGTTAGCTCTTTGGACCCCATTGGAAACGGATAAAAGAAGCAGAAAAAATAAAAGTCTGAGTGTCAAAAAAATGTTCTTCAGTTCCAGAATTTTGGCTTCTTATGGTGAGTTTAAATTTACATATAAATCATAATTATTCAATCAAATTAAATAAATGTAAATGCTTATAATATATATGTATTATATATTGAAATCATTATAGCACAGTCGAGAAGTCTGACAGAAGCGGAGATGCACTTATTGTTAGATGAAGCAAACAACAATGAAGAAATATATGAATCCCATATGAGTGAATAAATATGATGAAAGGAATAAGCAAACGTTATACTCTCATCATGTAATTAGAGCAAGAATCAATGCTTTATTTTGTCAGTTCCATCACCTATGACTGATTACATTCACCGAGGAAGCTGTTGTATAAGTGATATCAGTACCGAGAAAATGTGGTACTTCATTATATGTGAATAAAGTAAATGGTATATATATTATTAAATAATTTGTATTATATTATACCCAAATATTAGAGTTTTGATATACAAATTAGTAATAATAAGATATTTATTTCAATGCTAGATGCAGAATTTTTTGAGAGCAGTTGACTAAAGATATTATCCAGACAGGAGCGAGAAGAAAGTGCAAATTTTGTGACAAGCTGACTCGAGAAATCGATAGAGGTATTTTGTAAGAACATATGTTTCGCTATTAGTGAGGTGTAACCAATCTTCTACTAATTACAGATTATCGAGTTTTTAAAAATTGTGCTCATGCCTAACAAAGTGTTATTTCGCAGACAACTAAGTATTGGCTCTGACTCATTCATGTATATATATATATATATATATATATATATATATATATATATATATATATATAATGTAATGTTTGTACTGGTTTTAATGTTGATCAGCTTTAATTATTTGTTTTATGTTTCAGAAAAGCAATGCAGTTTTGAGGCAGTATTATATTTATAATTTATAATTCATTAAAGTTGTATTTTATAAACTAATTTTGAGAAATAAACTTTTTTTCAAATAATGACCTCTTTCTTATTATATTTTAAGTAAAAATATTATTTTTAGGTAGAAAGTATGAATTAAAATGCCCCAGAATTCATTACAATGCATGTCCGATTCCTATCCTATTCCTATCCTACTTACGGACGGAGTATCCCGCGCGGGATATCCTGCGGCTATCGCTAGGAGCGGACATAGTTACAGTTCAGGGATAAGGCTTGGACAAGCGGGACGTACCGTTGGATGGTCCTGCGGACGAAGAATGTCCGCATGCGGATAGTCTAGGGATGATCCATAGATCATCTCGTGCTGTCTGGGTAATAATTCAGTAAGTCCTATAAGAACATGATATATATAGCCAGAAAAAGTTCCATAAAAATTGGCCTAAATTTTTTTTTCAACAGTTAATTACAAGAAAACGGCTCGGTAGATTTTCACCTAACACTATTCAGTATCATTCCCAACTAATTTCTTTCGAACAGTTTTTGATTTTGTAAATTCGGTTCGGTAGTATGAGCTTAAATGTGGACGAAAGGTTTAACACTTTTTTCCAAATTACAAAGAAACGGCTCGGCCGATCTTCGCACAAAACTGAGAAACGATAATCCTCATCGAGATACATCAAATGCTTTTTAAATATCTAAAATCGGTTCAGGCGTTTTTGAGCAAACGTCGATGAAAGTTCTAATTTTGACTATGGTATCTACCATCAAAAAAACTAGTAGGGTGGGTGGCATCGTGCCTTAAGGCAAATTGCTGGAACTTCCCGTACCGTAACGAAATGTTCGAGGAATACTGAATGCTTTCAAATAGATTATTATAAATATTGTAACATTGTCTAATATTTATAAGAATTATATAAAATGAATTGCAAAGTTGAAATTTTTTGTTTAAAGTATATTAGAACTATAGTCAGAATTAAAAATAAAATCTGAATTATTTTCGATATACAAAAAATTAAAAAAAAAAAAAAATGAAACAAATTTTTTTTTTCCAAAATCAATTATTTTGTTAAGACTAGCAGAAAGTTTTTTGAATCTTTCAAATCGGACGCTTAGTTCTCTCAAAAACTGCCATTTTTTACATATTTACCTCCGTATCATCGAAATGGCTAGGCCTGCCTTTGCGAAAAACTAATAAACACTTCTCCCAATCATTATTGATTGAATGTTTTTTAGATCATTCAAATCGGATACTCCGTTCTCTCAAAAAGTCGATTTCTATTTTCCGCACTCTTTGCTGCATATATTCGAAACGGCTGGATCTGCCTTTGCCAAAAACTAATCAGCTCTTTTCCCTATCGATAGGAATCGAATGTTTTTTGAACCATTCAAATCGGTTGATCCGTGCGCCCGAAAACGTGACTGGAAATTTGTATCCATACATACATACATACACACACACACACATCCATTTTTTCTGAGGTATGCCGAAATGTTCAGAAACTTTCAAAACGTCGAGAAATGTGAAAATTTTCAATTCCAATTTTCGGCCCATTACAATAACTTACCCTACGGGAAGTTAATAATCATAAAAATCGTCGATTTTTTTTTTTATTTTATTACAAGAAAAGGCCCGGCCGGCCGATCTCTACCAAAAACTAATCAGCACGATTCCCAACCAATATCTTTCGAACGGTTTTTGAATATTCAAAATCGATTCAGAATTGCGGGCTAAACCGTAGACAAAAAATTTTTCACTTCTCTGCGATTTATAAAGAAACGGCTTGGCCGATCGTCGCACAAAATTGTTAAACGATAGTTCTCATCGAGATACATCGAGTGGATTTTAAATTTTTGAAATCGGTCCAGCCGTTTTTGAGAAAACGTCGATTTACGGCAAAAAATCTGTTCACATACACGCACACACACACATACACACCCACATACACACACACATACTATTCCAAATTTGGTCTCATTCGATTCAGAATGGCTTGAAACGTCGAGAAAACATAAAACTTACCTTTGGGAAGTTAATAAATTTCAATGAGTTTATTTTGATTTTCCTTTTTTGCAACCGCGTATCCAAATAACTGGCATCTATGTTATCACCCTGACTTGTATATAGTATGCTCGAAAAGTAATTGAAAAAGACCCGATCAATAACAGCATTTGTATCTGAACAACATAAGAAAAAATCTGTAAAAATTTCATTATTACCATGTGGAATATGTTCAACTTTTTTAATTTTTTCATTGCTAATTGGAATGCTGGAAAAACTGCCTTCTATGCGTAGATTGCCTATGTAATATAACGCAAGTTCGTACTGCTGATACTTTCCATCCTTGTGTGAACTGTGACATTTGTCAAACCCTAAAAATATAAATATCATGGACCATATAACTACAAAACTCATTCTAGTATTGCAATGAAAAACTTGTATTGTAAATATAATAGATTGTACTGTATATATTCGAAATGATTACTTCCATATTTATTTAAACTGTACTTATGTGGATGTCACATAACATAATGTGAGCTTTATAAGCAATTGTCAAACAACTTTGTTTCCAAAGATCTTGTACTTGCATGTACACATAATTGAGATTTTTATGAAAATAATTTCTAAAATTACTATCTGTGTTATAATCCAATTTTCTTATTCATATCGCTGTCTATTATAACTTGCAATAAGTGATTAGACAGAAATGTCTATGGTGTCCGGACACCATATTCGAAGGGGCCCCTTCGATGAATTCCAAATTTAGGATTTTAATTTGAATAACCTAAATGCAATAATAATATATTTCAGAAAATGTTTTGGTAACACATTATTCACATTAAACCAATATGTACTTGCACAGCACAGCGTTTGAAACAAAATTATTTATTCATTCTTTCATAAGCAAGCCTTAATCAATATGAATGGTATTATTTCAAGCTTTTGATAAAAGAATACAAAAAGGCAGTGAGCAAACACTTGAGATTTAAATACAAACCTCATATAAATCAAAATAAGCACACTTATTAACATTTAAAAATATATAAAATTAAAAAAATAACACATAATCTGTTTTAACTTTGCTTTGACATATGAGTAGTATTCATCTGTCATTTGAATAATATTGTGTGGGAAGCCATTTTGAATCAAGTGCTATTTACCAAAAATTTTCAAATTAAAAATGTAAAGTTTCTAAGCAATGATTGAAGATAGTTACAAGAATTGAAATAAGAAAATATTGACTTTTGTGCAACGCCCTAATCACTGGTCTTCAGTTGGCTACTTAAAAGGTATGCCCAGTCCTCGGTTCATCTCGGGTTAACTCATATACTCTAGTCGTGACACCGGACTTCTGTTGGCATACTCATGTCCAGACCTCGAGTTATCGCTGATACCAAAAAGTTCACTGGAATCGCAATTCAACCTCTCTTTTTGTCTTTGACTCACCAAATCGTCTTTTGATACTCAAGACTTTGGAACTGGATCTGGATTGTATGTTGTTTTTAGAACTGGATTTAGATACTTCATCCAAGTTGTTCTCATCGAATCCAGTCATTCAAACAGTAAGCTCTTATGAAGATTTAGACAAATCAATCCTGCACTATTGAATCAACTGCCCTCATCTACCCAACTGCCCGAAATACTCCATCGACAAGTTTGTAATATGTTTTACTAACTTCGATTATTAGGCCAGAGGACTCTAATCCAGTTGTGGTGGACTGCGATCGGTTCATACCTTCCTGAATTTGAGATTCAAACCTCTGGTACAATCTGCCTTCCCACCAAATAAATATAATGTGTTGATATGCATATTTAAACTAGTGTGAGGTCAAAACTGGGCAGGGAGTTTTGTGTGGGAATTAAAAGAGGCCATGGGTTTTTGATAAAAATAATTATTATGTCATGACATTTTTATAGTTTTGAAATCATAATTTTTAATACATTTTTTATAACACATAGAAATATCTTTTTACTTATTTACATATTTCTATAACTATTTTTCTGTGGAAAACATTATTAATTATACTTCCCACAAAACTTAATGGCAAACCTAACTTTAATAATTTATCCAACAAAATATTAGGTATTACATTGTTATAAGCTCCCTTTATATCACTAAATAGTGCTACGACATATGCATTTTTAGAAAATGCCAGATATATGCCATTAGTAAATATACTTAGATTATCTATTGTACTATTTTTTTTTTGAAACCATATTGAGTTCTTGGAAATATTTTATTATGTTCCAATCACCATTCTAGTCTCCTCTTAATCATACTATCTGTTCTCTTATTCTAGATTTTTTCTTGTTACCATTTTGTGAACGGTTTACTTAATATATCATTTTCTAATTCCACATATCCATTTAAATCTTCACCAATATTGTAACTAACTCCTGCTGGTGCTATTTTGCCTACTAGAACATCTAACACATCATCACTACATTTTGATATATTTCCCGATTCACCCATATTTATCATAGCTCTCACCATTTTGAAAAATTTCCTAGCGATCGTTTTAGGTTTTATATTATTTATATAATATTATTTTTACAATTCCATTTTCTTACTGATTTATTCACATTTTTGTCATTTTTCACATTAAGTTCAACATGGATTGGAAAATGGTCAGAACCCAGTGACTCCTTTTGCACTTCTCACTTTATCTTATTTATTATTTCTGATGAGCATAAAGTTATATCAACCGCCGTTTTTGTATTTATAAATATCATAGTCGGACTCCCATTGTTAACTAAATGTAGAATGTTTTCTTCAATTGATTCCAATAGTTCATTACTATATCTGTCACTATATGAGCAACCCCACGCATAATT